TGTGTGTAACCAAAGATTGTTTAGATAGGTTATTTCTTTACCTTATCTTTTCGCAAACAATCTTGTAAAATCTGTATTGATCTTCTCTATCAATATATATTTTAAATTTGAAAACTTTGTGTTTGTATTCATCCCCCCCCCTTCTACAAACTGTTTCTTATCTTGTAGACCCTTTTGGGACCAACAGTTATTAATTACTATGATTATTTAAACTGGTATTACAATCCTCTTTTCCTTATAATTATTTATTTTGCTATTGGGTCAACAGGCTTGGAACCTAAACCAACAAGAACATGTGATGCAGATTATTGAGATCGCTTTGTTGTGCACTCAATCATCAGTTTTTAAAAGGCCGACTATGTCAGAAGTTTTTTTGATGCTTCCAACTAGCCAATCACTGGGGAAAAGATAGCTAACCAGACCAACTCTTGTTGATCATGAGAGGAGGATTCATATGGGTTGAACCCAATGTTCATTATGGTCGATAGATCATGGCATGTTTGTTGTGTTTATCCACTCATCGTTTTATGGAAGTACGCATGTGTTGGAACTTAAGATCCATATTCAGAGTATCTATTAGAGTATAAGGGTATTAGAGTTTTTTTAGTTGTCGGTTAAGTGAGTGTTAGACTAGCATAAATAGATGTGATGTAACCATTTTTACATAAAGTGAATACATCTCATTTTATCCAGATTTTCCTTAGTTGGATTGTCAACCATGAGCATTTGTGTAGCATCAATCTTTGCTTTCTTTTGTTCTCCATAAAGATAAAGACTAGTATAAATGGATCTAATAATAGATTTGTGGCTCCTAGGCTTCAACCACTTGAGAGTGTGTGGAAAAAGGATATAACCATTTGTGTCTGCTAAAATCGTCTATAAACATCACAAATAATTTAAAGTTAGATCGAGAAATAAAAGAAAATGGTCCCCATGTATCAAAATGCATAATATGCAATTAGGAAGTACTATGAAATATTCAACTTCAAATGTTATATTTTCTTTATCAACTATTTTTTCAAAATAGGGACATATTTAGAATTTTTTTCAAACGATGGTACCATTGACTATAAGAAACAAATATAGGAAAAAGAATTCAAACGGTAGCACCATTTGACTATAAGAAAACAAGAATTGTAAAAATAAAAGAATAGAGACTCACTTCGAGAGTTTGGGAAAATAAAACTAAATAAAAATAAAAGGCATACAATGTCGTAGTACATATAAAATTGATGCTCATCAGATGGTCCCGATGAAAAGAAACAAAAGAGTGAGAAGGCAACAATATGGTATTAACGCGTATAAATTGTGAAATCGACAAAAGTTTTTCGGTTTTTACGTTTGAGTATCGAGTGTGGTGGTGAAAATGTGGAATGACCAAAGTGAGAATGAGAGTGAAACCATTTCCTAAGATCATTTCATGAGATTGATGTATGGTTGAACTTCATGTACTAAGTATGTATCAGAGTTCATCTTATGTTGTTGCACCAATATCTAGCACTCAAGTATTAAATGTGGCACATATATCCAAGAATGAACTCTGTAATAAGCCCGCATTAAGGAAAAATACGTTATGTATACCGCATCTTTCCGAGTACAATGGGTTTTCTTCGATCCGGGCCCGATTAGCAAAATGAGCAGGCCCAAAACCAAAATCTGATGGGTTTGCATAGGTCGAAGAAGCTGGTAAGCATTAAAATTTATTCCATTGTTGAGTATTTGGTTATAAGTTAACTGTTGGCCTTAGTCTAATTTGTGTGGTTCATGAGTGTGTTCATAACCCAAATTTGGTTGATGAATAACCCCTAATTCCATGATTCCACTTGCACAATAAAAAATATTGGTTTGATATGCAGATTTTTCGTTAAAAGTCATGCCTTGAAAAACGTTGCGCCCTCGTCGTGGATTTTAAAGCTTGAGGCTTAATCTTACTGTTACTCCACGCATTCATCTGTTTCCTCCCCTACTCCAGGGATGGACCCAGGTGGTTTAAGTGGTGGCACAAACAACCGGTTCGCTCCTCCGTTGTAGTGTAAAAAATTATAGGGTCGTGAAAAATGTCGTCGTATCAATTTGTTGTGTTCCATCATACATCCAAGTTTGAATCTTGGTAATGTCGTTTTCTTAGTCATTAGCTTTTAATTTCAATTTATTATGCTTCTGAAACTTTTTGCAATAAAAGACTTAAACACATGACCTCACAGAAGAAAATTAATGAACTAATCAACAAATCAATGATTATTTTGTGAAAAAATATTCATATATTTGTTTCCTATAGTAAAATGGTACCATCACTTGAAGAAATTTCTAGGTTCGTCTCTACCTTTAACTTCTTTGTCTTTGTCTCTTGATTTGGTTCTTCATGATTTTAGTGGGTTGATAAAAACCTAGGGCTTGTACGTAAACCATTTTCCCTCGAGGACCAACAGTTTACATCGTTGTAGAAGACTATACTTCATTATTAAGCTAATCCACAGTACTTCCTTTATATAGAGCTTGAATCTGTTTTATAGTAGAAGACCATTTTCCCACAAACACTGCTTAATTTGCATGTGAAGCTTATGCTAAAGGTATTTTAGCCAAATGTTTTACACTCGATAGTTTTGTTACTAATCAACAACACTTATATTTCATTTGAATCCCTCTAAGGTCATTAGAGACTTTTCTAGCTGTTCTCCATGGACTTAGTTAAGGTTTACGTAAATTAGTCAGAAATGCAGAAATAACAGAAAAAAGAGCACTTGTATCTTGAAAACACATAATCAGGTTGTAATTGAAATGTTAATATGTCAAAATGGTGATGTTGTGAATTAAGTGTTTAATTTTTTGAAATGAAGATAGCCTTTAAAATCCGAAAGGACAAACAAAATGCATGCACCATTGGATGGATCTGCATGCATTCAACTTAGTTGTATTCTAGATAAACATTTTTAGCATCTTAGCGACAAGATTAAACTTTTTCGTATCAAATATGTTTGTGACACCTTTGCAGGTCCAGGATGTATTTAAAAAAAAGACTGTTAATTACTTCGGAAAAGAAAACCTTCAATGAATTATTTTTACAATCAAAAGTGAAATTTAATACAATAAATACTAATCTACATATATATTAAAGGAATAACTAATAAAATGGTTCAATGAAAAGTTTTCTATCATATTTATCTTTTTTTTTCATTATTTTAATTTATTTTTAATATACAATCAACACATTAATTGCTAACCCTTTCATTTTCCTATTTTTTTAAACTCTATTTTCATTATTTTATAAAGAAAATTTGAATCCACAAATATACATAACTATATATAACTTTATTTACATCAATGCTTGCATATTTTTAATTACATGACAATTGAAAAAATCAATCAATATATATATATACACACACACATACACACACAGAGGAGCGATCAAATGAAAACCGCTCTCATTTGTGTAAACCATGTAAACCAATCTCATTCATCAATTTTTCTTGATTAATGGTCAATATTAGTTTAGGTTATATTAGAAAATTAATAAAAAATAAAAAATTATTTTATAATCCCAAAAAGGACAAAATGGTAACTTTGGTAGTGATAATATTAATGACAATCATATCATGTATATCGTAATATTACTGAAACAAAATCATTTGTAAAATAATATATTAATTTTATGTTCAAATATTATAAAAAAAATATCCATCACTAAAATAGATCAACAATAAAAATAAAACACACTATAATTAATTTAACATAATGAAACCTTTTGAATAAAAAAAATTATTAATACATTTCATGAACGAAATGGTTTCGGTTTCATCATTACACAAATCAACGTAATGGTAGATGAGACATTTGTCATTTTCAAGTTTCCGGTAGATGGATCCATTTCAATCTAATTATGAAATGGTTTCACTGTTTGCTAATTAAACAACATGTTCTTAACAATTATGAAATGGTTTTTCTGTCGCTATGCACCCATTTCATCGAAATGGTTTCACAGTTGTATGACCGAAATGGTTTCACAGTTTCATCAATACACTAATCAAGGTAATGTCTGATGAGACATTTGTCATTTTCATATTATTGTTAGATGGATCTGTTTCATCGTAATAATGAAATTGTTTCACTCTTCGCTAATTACATAGCATTTTCTTATCAATTATGAAATGGTTTCACTTTCTTCATGCACCCATTTCATCAGCCAATTTCTTCCAATACGAACACGTTTCATAGAGTCAATGCATTTTACCATTACATGCTTTGTTAACCATTAAGTGAACAAAATCATCAAAAAAAAATGAAACAATTTAATCAATAATTGTTGATAAGAAAACAAGATTATGCAAGAATATTATATTACGCAACCAGTTCATCCCCAAAAGTTTTATAAAACAAGTTCCTCAATGAATGTTTTTATGAACAAATTTAACATGAATCTGTTTCACAGCTGATTATATTTTTACCGGTTCATGAATCTTTGTTTGGATCTGTTACTGATTTCGTGGATTAATGAATATAATAATTTTCGATTTTTATATTATTACCACTAATAAACCGAGAAACCAAATAACAATATTCAATTTTTAAAATTCTAATTTAAATATTACCATTTATAATTTTTTTTTATTATGTTACCTTAATTAAGATTTATTAATAACTTCCATATTTAATAGAAAACAATGTAAATGACAAATCTATCCTTAATGATTAAATTTAATTAAGAAAAAAAAAGAATTTTCCTATTGGTCGAAATTAGTTTACACGGTTTCTAAGAATTAAACGGTTTTCATTTGATCCCGCCTCTATATACACATGTGTGTGTGTGTGTATATATATATCTATACTATCTTATAATGCATTTGGCTAAAACTCTTAAACTCTTGAACTCTTAAACTCTTAAAAACAACCTCTATTGCATTAGGTACAACCTACTAAAGCATACTTACCTAAACCCCCTCTCCATCCGTATACCCAATCCCTATCCCTAAACCCCCGCCATCCCCGATCTGCTTAATGCTTATCCCTAAACCCAATCCCATTTTGATCGGCAACCCTATCCCTAAACCCAATCCCTTTTTATCGCATCCATATCTTATAAACAAAATCGATTCCATGAACAGAGATTTTGATTCAGGCAGCCGCATAGATTTTATATTCATTCATCTTCTTCAACAATTCCTTCAAGAATCCACAGGTAACGACTCTGGGTTTGTCTCTTTCAATTTTTCGAATTAGGGTTTCTATTTTGTCGCTGTTTGATTTTAATTTGTTTTCTCCATGTTCGGGTTTTATCTTTTTTCTTGCCGTTTAGGCTCTTTGTACAAAGATCGACTAGAGAGCCTGATTGATGATTTCCTTGGTGATTTTGATTCCAAAGGTAGGTTTACATTTCAATTAGAATCGTCAATTGGTAATTCCTTTAGTTTACTCCTCTTTKTTTTATTCTCTGAAGTTGGTTGTTCTTTTGTTTTTCATTCRTTTGGGTTGACTTTTGTAGTTAAAATTAGTGGCAATTTAGTGCTTGATGCTTGTTCATGGTGATGGTATTTTTAGGCTATCGGATTTCTTTGAATGTGCTTACTTACTAAATTACAGATCATCTTAGTTTCTTAGTATATGGTTCTTTTGTTCCTGTTTGTTAATGTGCTTACTTACTGAATTCTTTGTTTTCTTTTTGTCCACTCAAAAGTCATACTGACTATTGATATATCTGAATCTTCCTGCATATTGTTCTTAATAACTTAGGGCCAAATTTTCCCCTTCAACTCATTTAAGCCAAGATTCCTCACTCTACTCCTACTTATTGTGATGCCATAACATTTGTACTTTTCGTCAGGGGTAAGGGTGAATACCAAATTGATTTTGTACCAGCTCCTAGGATCACTGAAGCCGACAAAACAAATGATAAAAGATACATTTAATGATTTTCCCGCTTATGTTCTCTTTGTACATGTACCACATGTGCAACATGCTATACAAAGTGATTCCTAGATCATAATTGATGCTATGGTCGTTTGTCCTGCTTCTTACATTTTTTCTTTACGTGCTTTTTAGTTCAATTTTTCTTAGATATAATACCGCTTAATGTAACTCATGGATTCGGTACTTTCAAGACTTGACATTGATGTTTGGCAACTAACGGTTTCAACACTCCAATACTGTTTCTGAGATGCTGACATATTCCTCAAAACATCAGGTGGTATATAAAGTGTTCTCTTATCATAAAGAGGATTGTCTGGCCTTCTTCCATTAGCATCTTTAATTTATGAAGGATGAATCCAATCAAATTTACTAGCCGATTCAGATGCCACTTCGTCTTTCTTTTTTTCAGCCAGTAAATCATGAGAAAACTTCACTCTTTTGCTATTGTCCATCAAAGATTGAGTAGTAGTAGAGGCAAAGTTACAACCATCCTCTTGAACTCGCTTCAAACGTGGAACCAGTGGTCGAGTACCAGGAGTTTCTGGCCCTGTTATATCCCCATCAGATTCTACAAGCAAGGGATGTCTTTTATCCCCTGGAAAAGCAGTTTTTTCTACATCCAAAACACTTTTCATTACCGGAGAACTAGAAACCGAACTCTCCTTGTCTATTCCATTTGAGTAATTATATTTATTAGATAATGGGTAAATAATATCATGGCTGCCACTTGATAAATTCCTGCACGTCAAGAGCAAACATCACAAGCTTTAATGCAGACAGAAACTCCATGGAATATGCATTAAAAAACCATACAACATAAAACTTACCAGACATCAATTTTCTGAACATCATGTACCCGGTAAGTCATATCTACCTGTTTGAGATTTAAGTTATTTGCACCTTGGTATTCTCCTACCTGCACACCAAAGAAAAAATGGAAGAGGAGCTCTCAGCCTCTAAAAAATACGCTTAAGAAAGTGTAACAATTCAAAGTTACTTGAAATCCTTACAAGAGTTTAACGAAAATTAAGGGATTGCAGTCTTATCTTCAAATTTAATGCTGCAAACACCAAAATTCACATCAAAATGCTGCAAACTGTTTTAGAGTGTCAAGATGGTTTGATAATTTCAATTTGTATTGGGTTAACATTAGAAAGGGTTGTTTAGTAGGATTTATTAGCACTTTAATGAGTCACATMCTATTTAATGCATGTTTAGTAGTGACTTAATTATATAGAAATTGATTTGGACGATAATACATGCATGTTTGGTATGAAAATTATACAAAACCATTTTTTTTCCAAACCTGTCACTACCAATTAAGAACATATTTAGCCGTTTCTTTATTTTCCTTCTTATAATCAAATGGAAAAAAGACTTGCAATTGTTATTCTCTTTCAAAAGCCACATGGGCCAATATTGAACATCGATGTTGGTTCTTTTGGATGACTCATCCAGTTCGTTTTCAACAGTTTTAGATAGCTGGACCTTTTTTACTATTTTGCTTTTATGTTAGCCCAGTTACAAAATTCATTCCCTGATCGTCAAGTTGGCAAACCATGTCATGTTTTTTCGAATTATTTCATCATTTCTAAGATTTTAGCTTAAATTTCAATTCTACAAACAAATAAATTTAMGATTTAGGGGGTGTTTTTAGCCTACCATTTGTACAAGAGGTTTCAATCTACCCTTCGTACAAGAGGTTTGTCACTGCTTTAGATTTTTATCAATTATGGTTTCTTGTATCAGTTGTGCATTTATTATTCATGGTAGGTTACTGGTGTTAAATTCGATATGTAAAGGAGACCTTGGCTATTCAAAATGTTGAAGTAGGGTTCAAGATAACATTCCCATGGCACAACTACATTAAAAGGTAAGATTTTTTTAGTTTTGTTCTTTGATTTGAACATTAAACGATTTATATTTGACACATATTTATTATTTTTGGCAAAAGAAGCTAGATGGGGGAAATTTGTGCAACTGTCTATTATGAAGATAATGAAAACCAAGATGTCATCGGGAAAGAGCGAAAGCAAAGACCCAGAGTCTTATCCGGTAAATGACCATGACAACTCTTACTACATTAAGTGAACTTATAACACCCTTTTTCATCTTTGGAAGGCTTGTTTCTACCAGTAAAACCAGGATACTGCTAGGC